CTATAACAAGAACAAACAGAGATGTGTTATGGATTTTAGAACATTTATACACACACACACACACACACACACACACACACACACACGGATATAAATGACTCAGTTTGAAAAAACAAAAAACAAAAAAAAACATCATGTTCGAAACACGTGAAACATGACGATACTTTGAGTGCAGATGTATACAGTCAAAATTTAATTTAACATATATGTACCAAGGTTATTATTGTTAACTAAAACTAAAACCATAAGATACATTTTTATTACTCGAAATAAAATAAAATATATAAAACAAATTATTTTATTTTAAATAGTGGCCAAGGCAACATTTCACATTTTTGTGATAATTTGTGATGATATACACATAATGTGATAAACTTATAATAAAAGTATACTAAAATAACACTAATATGTATTTGCATATGAATATTGAATATGAAATGACCTTGTGTGTGCGAATTAGAGTAGGATGATCCAGCTTAAAATTTTAACTGGTCAAATGACTTTAAAAAAAGCACAATAAAATAATTTACAAAATTGCTTGAATTTTACAAGCCAGCAAATATATTGTGAAAATATTTAATACATTTCTGTATCACAGTTGCAAATTAAACGAACAAAAGTCCTACAATAATATTTGAAACAAACAGTAAATTATTATAAAAAAAATTTCAACTACTCCCCTAAGATGTATGTCTACACTCTAAACAATGGTGGGTTGTTTTAACCCAAATTTGGGTCAAATATGGACCAACCCAAATGTTGGGTTAAAAATGTAATTTAAAATTTTAACCCAACTTCAACTTTCACTTTCAACTGTACATTTTTTAATTACAGTTTTAACCCAACATTTGGGTTGGTCCATATTTGACCCAAATTTGGGTTGAAACAACCCAGCATTTTTTAGAGTGTATAAAACAGAAAATGTAAAAGAAGTGAATCTTTAACAGCGCTTGATTGTATTGAGGTATATCCTGCACACTTCTGGGCCAGAAACGAGATCTGCAGGAGGAAGCGTCTCTGGAGGAGGTTAACGGAGCCAGAAACGTGATTGATTTATGAGGAGGTTATAAAAACTGCAGTGGAATGCTGTAAGGCACATGTGAGTGAAAACATGACCTTTGACCTCACAGGATGGGCACCTCGGCACCAATATGACCTCACGAGTACTTCCACAGCCACCGATGGCAAGAAAAAAAAAAAAAAAGGGTCATTAAGCTCTTTCAATTAATAACACAAATAGGAAAGCCTTCGTGAGATTTGAAATCCAATTACAGGAGACTCCTAAAGTCTGTGACCTCGAGGTCTGCTTCTCCGGGGCGGAGAAGGTTTTTTTTGCACCAATTGACCTAATATTAATCAATTACGAGCTTCTTCCTGAGCGGCTTATGGAAGCCGTGCTTCAATCAAAAGCTCGGAGGTGTTAGGTGGCGGAAAAATAAAGTAATTCAATGCTTTCAGGGACTCGGAGGACACGTTTACAGCGGCCTTAGCTCCAGAAGTATTTTTCCCATTACTTTTTTTTTTGTTTTGTTAACGTGTCAAAAGCCATGAATCAACCAACCAACCAGAAACCACATCACATTACAAACTTTGGTAACACTTTCATTTAGGGTCCAATTAACTAGTTGCTTATTAGCAAGCATATTACTAGGATATTGGCTGTTTATTAGTACTTATAGAGCACATATTAAAGGGATAGTTCACCCAAAAATGAAAATTCTGTCAGTAATTACTCGCCTTCATGTTGTTCAACCCCGTAAGACTTTCGTTCATCTTCGGGACACAAATTAAGATATTTTTGATTAAATCTGAGAGCTGGATCACTCCTCCATAGGCTTCTTAAGGGATTGAAACTGGCCGGCCCAGAAAAGTTATTAAAGACATTGTTAAAATAGTCCGAGTGAGTACAGTGGCTCAATATTAAGTTTAACAAGCGACGAGAATACTTTTTGTGCGCAAAAAACACCCAAAAATAACGTAGCCACTGTAGTCACTTGGATTATTTTAATGATGTCTTTAATAACTTTTCTGGGCCGGCAAGTTTCGATCCCTTAAGAAGCCTATGGAGGAGTGATCCAGCTCTCAGATTTAATCAAAAATATCTTAATTTGTGTTCCGAAGATGAACGAAAGTCTTACGGGGTTTGAACAACATGAGGGCGAGTAATTACTGACAGAATTATCATTTTTGGGTGAACTATCCCTTTAATGTCTTATTCTGGATAACAATCAGTAGCGGAGTGGCAATCGGGAGAGTCGGGAGTTTTCCCGGTGGGCCGGTATTGTTTCGAGGCCGCGAGGGCCGGTCTGATAAAATATATTCATTGCAAATTCGCCATGCGCACTTGGGGCCCAAGCGAGGGGAAGAAAACATTTTTTTTTAAACATTTTCTATAACAGAGTATATTTGCACTAAGTGCCTGTCTTTAATGCAAAAAGACACTCGTTACGAAACAGCTACAGTGGCGTAGGTCGTTGGGCGTGAAGTGCTTGAAAGCAGCTTTTGATGCGCTCGACCCGAGTTCGAATCCGCCTTTTGCCGAACTCTCTCTTCTCCCTTTTCCCAACACATATGTAAAGATGTAAAATGTATAACCTAACATTAAGGTCTCTAGCGTTATATTTTGCCAACGAACTAAAATTGAAACCATGATATGGCTTTGTGTCTTTATAAAACAGCACAAGACTTTAAGAATAGGCATCCTGTCTGTGCTGGGTGATTACTTTGCTCACGCGATCAGCATGGCTATCTGGTGTTTTCTCCTAAATAAAAGCTCAAGGGTGTATTTCTTGCAAATGAAGAAATAAGGACAAAAATATTGTAATTGTCCTATATTATAGTGTAATGTAGGCTAAAATATACTTTTGAAATATTCATTTTCATTTATATAGTACATTTATAGGCTAAATGGATTTTACGTCATAGGAATAATTATATAAATCATTATTACATTATAATAATAATTGTTTGGCATCCTAAAACATCATTGATAATGTAATGCAGACTGAGACTCTCATAACTAAAAAGATGCCCTCTTTATTGTCCTGGTACAAATCAATGCTTTTTCTTTGTTCAACGAGCAGTTCATGGGTTGAAGCTCTTAATTTTGATCTCTCAAAGAGCACGAGATTGATGCATTTAACCTTAAAATGTAAAAAAAATTCTTGCGGGGGAGCATGCCCCCGAACCCCCCTAGAGGCACAGAGGTCCACCCAACATAGTTTTAAAAATTCCTATGGGAAAGAACGACCATTTATGAATTTACTCCAGCATAGTACAACAAAGTTACTTTTAAATCAGTAAAACTGTAAATGCCGTATTAAAATGTCCCTGGACAAAATATACATTTGGCCTGCCTAAGAGGGGACCTACAAGACATTGTGCCCAGGGGGCTCTTAATCCGGCCCTGCCGGCGACGAGGGCCGGTGGTCTACGAAATTTCCCGGTAGATTTTTTGGTCCCACTCCGCCCCTGATAACAATATTCTACTTCCCTTAATCCGACCCAATACCTAAACTTAACAACTACCTTACTAACTATTAATATACAGTAATTAGGAGTTTATGGAGGAAAAATTATAGTTAATAGTGAGAATTGGACCCTAATCTAAAGTCAGTGTGACCCAAACATATATTTTAAGCAAAAAACTGTTTGAAAATGGGACAGAAAGTCAAATATACAAGACTTGTGTATGTAATAATATAGCACTTTTCACAATACAAATGGTTTCAAAGCAGAAAATCATAATGTTAATGATTATTATATATTAGTATTTTCATGCCTTATATACATAGAAGATTCGAGATGGACAATAATATAGTTTACACGTTGAGACGATATAAACAAATTAAGCATTTGAGATTTGGTACAAAGTATATAATCGCTCTATGTGTGTATACTGTATGTCTAGAGATAAAGTTGGACATACTTCTTGTATATCTTTGTATATTTACTTGTATTTCTTGTATATCCAACTTTATATAAAGAGCTGGGCGATAATATAGTTACATTTTGCAATGAAAAAAACAAACCAAACATGTCCTTAATGACTTAATGACAACAATCCCATATATTTGTCTGTATTTAAAAGAAATGTTTATTGCAAAATATGCATCTAAATACAAATATTTATATAGTTGAGAGCGTAGCGAGACTGTAATTCGCAGTGGTTGAGCATAATTTTGGCGCAATTTTCTTCTCTGATTCTCTGATTGGTGGCGATTTTGAAGCAGAAACATGAGTAATTCACATTATTTAAAAACAAATGTTAAAATAATGTGTGCTGATTGCTTCATCAAAAGCATATACGATCGATTAACAACCTTGTAGCTCACAGTATGTCTGTCTTTAACGGTTTAAATGTTATAGGCCTAGTTCAAAATCAATTCCCCTATGGAGAAAATGAATACTTCTGTTGGACTTATTGCACAAAAATATACAGCACACACAAATATCAAATAAAATACATTCAAAGCATTTTATTAAACAAAGAATAAAAGTGATGCTGCCTTAGACTTTAGTCGACGTTTGAAACAGACTTTTTGATCCCGTTAAATGCCGCCTACGTAGGCATCTCACTAGGTTTTGGCACAGAGTAAACGCGTTATGAAAAGTTGATAAATGTCATTCATTAATCTCGTGTCCAGAGAGACAGCACAACAGCGTTTATGGGCCTTTTTATGCGCTTCATCGCCTGGTTTACCGGAAAACGACGAGGCCATCAGGAGGAAAAACCCGTCCTAATAGGCCGGCTCTCCATTAGCTTCCACTGAAAATCTATTACAATTGGATTGCAGCGGCCAGACGGTGGAGGAGAGGCAGAGAGACGGATTGAATGACCGAGAGAACAATGTGACTGGTGTTTCACCTGCCATTTCAGCCCCAGTCTTGATCCCATTATAGCGCCTGACGGCAGCTCCAGTTACTCTCCAGCAGAAGCGTATTGATCTCTATAGTACGAGCTCAGGGCGATGTTTCATAACTCGGCTTAAGCAAAACAG